TGCCAACATTTTCCATGTTGTGGTAATGATGATTTTGCTGAAAATAATGTTTTTTATGTATTCTCTCTCTCTCTGTTAGATATCACTCTCATCAATTTCCCCTTTTCAATTTTCTACCTTTTATCAAGGAATACTCTTTTTCTCCCAAATCTCTTAAGACCGTATTGCCATTGTTAGCTGATGTTTCATGAACAATAAATAACAAAAGCCAAATCATCTTGGAGTTAAATGTACAGCCCTCTCAGATTTTACAAACTTTCAGGAAATGTATATTAATATAGTCTTCCATTATTCTGTTACATGACACATTTGGAATAAACAATTTTACTGTTATGATACAAAAAAATACAAAGATAGAATACATAGATATAGAATATGTTTTATATCTATAATTATCATACACATGTAAGGGCTCAACGAGCGAATGAAAAGTGACAATTAACTGCACAGTCAATCAAAGATAAAATTAATAACAAAAATATCCGCACAGTTTGAACTTGACAAATCCACAGATCCGATTTCCAAACATTTATAAACATCTATGCATTCACAAACATTTATATATGTACATATACTTTTAAATGATGATACGATAAATAGCTGGTAAAAAGTCAAAATAAAACTAAGTTAATTAAAATTGAAACTATCAAAGGTAGAAATTAAATTAAAATTAACACAAAGCCTAAAGATATCTGTCTCAAAAAAAAAACTTTGTTAACTTGGAAAGTTTGAAAAAAATAGAAAAACACTATGAAAGTTTGAAAAAAATAGAAAAACAATTGCGTTTTTCGGAATTTTTGAACGAGAATTTGCACGATCACTTCAGTTTTTTGAGCTGTTTCATCATTCTCACTCATTATTCGCTAATTATTTGAAGTTGCTGGTAATGACACATATTAAGTAAATTTGAGCAACAAATAACAGATACATTTAAATATTTTTGAAGTCGAGGACTGCAGCTGACTGCAGCGTCGGATTTGAATCGACTTGTAACGGACAGTTCTTCAATCTGGCGCGACTGTTTAGGGCTCTGCACAATAAAAGGAACAGAGAACAGAGAATAAGAATTTCAACCTACAGAAATCATGTATTGTGGAATACACAGTTTCTGATAGGTTGAAATTTTTGTTCTCTATTCCTTTTATTGTGCGGAGACCCTAAACTGCGCTGACTTGCGCGAGACTGTTTGCCGTATACTAGCGCCCTCATAGAAGATTTCATGGTGACTGGAGAAAATAGCAAGAAGCAGAAATCATGATGAAACGAAAAATACTTTTTTTATGGTACAAAAGTCAATATTATATATAATTCTAACAAAATTACAGCAATTAAATTCATGTAACGTTCCAACAATAAATCTTTTTAGCTGAAGTTTTTGAATAGTTCATCTCTCTCTCTCTCTCTCTCTCTCTCTCTCTCTCTCTCTTCTTTTTAACTTGAACAGAAAAAAGAGGAAACATGAACTGTGCAAGAACATCAGCTATAAAAAACAAGCTTAATATTACAGTAATATTTCATTGCTGCAGTTTTGCTAAAACATACGCTCTCTATTGGCTTGAGAACGGACGCTGCACGTTTTTCATATCCTTGTGCACTTCGGGTGCGTTACTGTGTTCGAAGAACGTATTACAATTATACAAATAAAAAAAAATTTGAGAGCGGCCTTTTTCGTGTGACGCATACGCCAGCGTATCAACGTCCACTTTTGCGATAAGGAAACTAGGTATCATATCTATTTTGTAAAATTATTGATAAAATTGTAGTGTCGAAAATGAATATGGTGCGTGTCCGTGCTAATAACCAATCCTAGCAGCTCTTATTAGCATGGATGCATCAAGAAAAGGAAAGTTTTACTTTTTAAAAATAACGATAAGTTATTATTACATGTTACCGACTCAAAAAAGTAACCATTTACCATTATTATGAGTGCTTTTCATTTGATGACACATATATTAAGTCGTTCTATCCTTCTTGACATTCAGAGAGTGACAAAGAACGATATTTGTGTCGCTTTATGTCGACTTGTGTCATCAAATAGAAAGCACTCTATAGTTATTGATTTTCGAAAGTAACTCGTTACCATTATCGTTACTTAATTGAAAAATAACGATTCGTTAGAAAAATTTATTGGAATTAATATGTGTTTGTAAAACTTGCTTCCATATTTGCTTCTTTTCATAAATATCTAAATTTAGTTTTTCTTTTGCAATTTGAAAAAAGTAATTAAATAACAAAATACTTTCGCAATATTTTTAAAAATATTAAATAAGAAATAAAAATATTAATAAAATTTGTGTAAAATTTGCAAAACACAAAAAATTAAGAACAAAATTTAAGAAAAAAGATTTTAAAATGCTTAAAATGTAAAGTACTTGATTTTCGATCCATTTATAAATACAAAATATACCTTTTGCACTTGCAACTTTATATTTAAAAATTGTAATAGAATATTTTTACACTTAAATATATTTTGACTTAAAACTGTTCTTAAAACGTATAGAACTATGAGGATTATTCAGATCTAAGCTATAGAAATTAGGATATAGTATATCCTAATAGGATTGTAAAAGACATAGAATTAGTTGAATAATCTGAATCTGAATCATCTGAATTATTATATATAAAATTGCAAAGATTGAATAGGATTATATCAAAATATAAACTTATCAAATTTTACATTTTTTTATTTATAATAAGTGAAAATTGATACTCCATTATATCATCATTTAAATATCCTCTTAATAGCATCAGCATTAACGATATTTATCTCGTAAGATTTTCTTGTAAGATCGTTATTTCTTGACTTCAAACTATCACACAAATCGTATTTTATCATTTAAATATATCCTTCTATGGTTGCGAAAGAATAAAGTTTTACCATGAAAAGTCCAAGTATGAAAAAGCGGAATCATTTCTGATCAGTTAGCTTCTATTCTGTTTCCTTTCTGTTATTACGAGTATTTCGGCTGTTTCTTTCTCCATTGAGATGTACCTTTAAAATTCTTAAGACAATTTTTAATATAATAAATTATATCACACATTATAAATATCGATCAAAGATTGCAGATTAAATATGCGAAAATTATGTCATAAATAGGTTCGAAATATAAAAAGTAACGACAAAAGTAATTTTAAAATTCATTACTGTTACCAAAAAAATATAACTACGTTACCGTTTATTATAAAAAAAGTAACGCCGTTACAAAAACCAGACTGTAAAAAAATAACTTATAACGGTAACGGCGTTACAAGTAACTATATAAATAAGTTTACGAACATAAGGTAGAATAGTAAATATATAAAACCTCATTAAATGATTATTTAAAGCGTTAGAATCAAAATCTCGTAAATTTTTAATTTGCACAGCTATATTGAAACAGAATTAATTAACTTAAAAATGCCAATTACATCGGTTAGATTATATTGGCGTTAGAAATGTACATTTTATAGTTGATACATTTCTTTATTCATGTACGTATTTATTATTCGTTTTATTTTTATATATTATTTAATTTTAATATAATGTATAGTGTTTTAACATACATGATGTTTCCCAGCAAGAGACAGTATAACATAATATTATAATCATTTCATTTTTGTTTAACATTGGCATAATAGGTAATAAACAAGGATATAATAGGTGCATTCAAAAGAATGACTACTCACTGAGCGCTCAGTGAGCTCTTGCATCTGATTGGCATATTCTGTTAGATCTAAAAATATAGACCAAACAGATGTAAGAGCTCACTGAACGCTCAGTGAGCGGTTGAGTCCGCTGAATGCGCCCATAGATTCTTGCGTGTTACATTGTGTCATTCGTGTCTCTTGTTGAAATAGCTTCTATAAATAGTACTATATAGTTTCAATATAAATAATAAATACATACACGCTTGATAAAGAATTTTATACACCACTTTTGTTAGCATTGACCATTTGTTGAGCTCATCACAATTCAATAAATTATTTTATACACATTATAGCAATGCAAATTCTATTTTTTTAGTTTAATTTTTCTTTTATCTTTTAATTTTAACCTCGATAATAAATACTTTAAGATTTGGACATCACATATTTAGCCAAATTATGGTAGGCAATTTTTAATTACTGTTCATGCCAAGAATCGAATTTATTAAAGTTATTATTATACTTCATTAATGCTTTTTCATTAATCGTTTAATTGCTACCACTCAAGATGACAAATACTTTTGGCTACAATGTTCGACATTGATGTAACGGGAGTATCGGTGTGCCATTAAATCAGAGTGAAATTATCGAAGGGGTTCGTGATTAAAGCAGCGTCTTGGCGCCGTTGGCTTACCGCCAACGTCGCTTGCCATTGAATTCGCGTGGACCGAAAATAAGTGAGTCGGTACGGTAAACAGGCGGTACAGTGACACGGGTTCGATCTCCTCGCTTGCCTCTTAAAGACCGGTTTAACCGAATAAGCGCGGGGACATTTTGGGATCATTGTTCGGCCTGCATGGCTGTCCTCCTCGTAACTCGCATGAAAATTGAAGACGCTAACGCAACGGCCAGAGACGTAACTGCAGAAGGATGCAGCCCATGCACATGTATACGCTCCGTGCGCGCTTTGTTTTATATCTCTTTATTACATAACATTTTATTTCTAGACATTGATGTCGCTTGTAATAATGATCATCAAAAGATTATGAAATTGGATGATTCAATCCTTACGTTCGATATCGATCTATTTTTAATTTTACACACAATGATTTAGCTGAAGTAAGTAAAAATTTAGATAACAGATCTGAAAATAATTTTATCAGATTATCAAAATAATTATGATGTTCAAATTAATTGCTGGAATAATACAATTTTTGGCAGCATATATTGTTGCATCATGCTTGAATTTCCTATAATTATTTTTATGCTTTAACAAAATTATTTTCTGTATATAAATCTGTATATAAATAAATTAGATACTTCGGTAAAATTGTTCTTTCAGTGCAGTTTAAAACGAAATACTTCGGTTTAATTTCTTAGAACAACATTCTCATAGTCGGTTCTTATTTCGCGACCGTATTAAGTAATATTTTATGATTCTAATATGGATTCTAATATGTGATTGCAGGTTTATGATATTTTAACTAGATTGTAACTTAAGACGGTCATAAATATAAGAATCAACTATGAATATCGCTCATAACTCTTTTTTATTATATAGCACTACCTACTATAGATAATAATAGTACGTAACAAAGGAGAAAATATATTTTAAACATGTGTGTGTATGTGTGCTTGTGTTATATGAAACTCTATTTTGATG